TGTGGAATTGTTTCACAACTCAGGCCACCTGGAACACCATAGCGTAATGGCGTGTCTGAACGTCGTAACCATACTTTATTAGATATGATGCAATCTATGATGTCTCTTACCGATTTACCACTATCATTTTGGGGTTATCCATTAGAGACAACCGCATTCACGTTAAATAGGGCACCGTATAAATCCGTTGAGATGACACCATATGAACTATGGTTTGGCAAGAAACCTAAGCTGTCATTTCTTAAAGTTTGGGGTTGCGACACTTATGTCAAAGGCTTCAACCTGATAAAGCTCGACCCCAAATCGAAGAAGTGCGTCTTCATAGGATACCATAAGGAAACAATTGGGTACACATTCTATCACAGATCTGAAGGCATGATCTTTGTTGCCAAGAATGAATCCTTTCTAGAGAAGGAGTTTCTCTTGAAAGAAGTGAGTGGGAGGAAAGTAGAACTTGATGAGGTAATTGTACCTTCTCTCGAATTGGAGAGTAGCACATAATAGAAAACCGTTCCCGTGATGCTTACACCAACTAGAGAGGAATCTAATGATGACGATCATAAAACTTCAGATCAAGTTACTACTGAACTTCCTAGATCAACTAGTACACGTTCTACACCAGAGTGGTACGGTAATCCTGTCCTGGAAGTCATGTTACTAGAATAAGACGAACCTACGAGCTATTAAGAAGCTATGATGAGACCAGATTCCGATAGATGGCTTGAATCCATGAAATCTGATATATGATCCATATATGAGAATAAAGTGTGGACTTTGGTGGACTTGCCCTATGATCGGCAAGTCATAGAGAACAAATGGATCTTCAACAAGAAGACGGACGTTGATGGTAATATTACTGTCTACAAAGTTCGACTTGTCGCAAACGGTTTTCGACAAGTTCAATGGGTTGACTACGATGAGACTTTCTCATCCGTAGCGATGCTTAAGTCTGTCCGAATCATGTTAGCAATTGTCGCATTTTATGAAATCTAGCAAATGGATGTCAAAACTGCAATCCTTAATGGATTTCTTAAAAAAGAGTTGTATATGATGCAACTAGAAGGTTTTGTCGATCCTAAAGGTGCTAACAAAGTGTGCAAGCTCCAGCAATCCATCTATGGACTAGTGCAAGCATCTCGGAATTGGAATATACACTTTGATGAGGTGATCAAAGAATATGGTTTCATACAGACTTATCGTGAAGCCTGTATTTACAAGAAAATGAGTGGGAGCTCTGTAGCATTTCTGATATTATATGTGGATGACATATTGTTGATTGGAAATTATATAGAATTTCTGGATAGCATAAAAGGATACTTGAATGATAATTTTTCAATAAAAGAGCTACTTATGTATTGGGCGTCAAGATCTATAGAGATAGATCGAGACGCTTAATAGGACTTTCACAAAGCACATACCTTGACAAAGTTTTGAAGAAGTTAAAAATGGACTAGTCAAAGAAAGGATTCTTGCCTGCACTGCAAGGTATGAAGTTGAGTAAGACTCAAAACCCGACCACGACAAAAGATAGAGAGAAAATGAAAGTCATTCTGTATGCCTCAGCCATAGGTTCTATAAAGTATGCCAGGTTGTGTACCAGACCTATTGTGTACCTTGCCATGAGTTTAGATTTGGGATACAATAGTGATCCAGGAGTAGATCACTGGACAACGGTCAAAATTTATCCTTAGTTACCTAAGAGGACTAAGGAAATATTTCTCGGTTATGGAGGTGATAAAGAGTGCGTCATAAAGGGTTACGCCGATGCAAGCTTTGACACCAATTCAGATGACTCAGAGTCTCAATCTGGATACATATTGATAGTTGGAGCAATTAGCTAGAGTAGCACCATGCAGAGCATTGTAGACATAGAAATTTGCAAATATACATACGGATCTGAATGTGACATACCTGTTGACTAAACTTCTCTCACAAACAAAACATGATCACACCTTAGTAATCTTTGGGTGTTAATCACATAGCAATATGAACTAGATTATTGACTCTAGTAAACCCTTTGGGTGTTGGTCACATGGCGATGTGAACTATGCATGTTAATCACATGACGATGTGAACTATTGGTGTTAAATCACATGGTGATGTGAACTAGATTATTGACTCTAGTGCAAGTGGGAGACTGAAGGAAATATGCCCTAGAGGCAATAATAAAGTTGTTATTTTATATTTCCTTATTCATGATAAAGGTTTATTATCCATGCTAGAATTGAATTGATTGGAAACTTAAATACATGTGTGAATACATAAACAAATACCGTGCCCCTAGTAAGCCTCCACTAGACTAGCTCGTTGATCAAAGATGTTTAAGGTTTCCTAACCATGGACATGTGTTGTCATTTGATAACGGGATCACATCATTAGGAGAATGATGTGATGGACAAGACCCACCCATTAGCTTAGCATAATGATCGTTCAGTTTATTGCTATTGCTTTCCTCATGTCAAATACTTATTCCTTCGACTATGAATTATGCAACTCCCGGATACTGGAGGAATACCTTGTGTGCTATCAGACATCACAACGTAACTGGGTGATCATAAAGATGCTCTACAGGTATCTTCAATGGTGTCTGTTGAGTTGGCATAGATCTAGATTATGATTTGTCACTCCGAGTATCGAAGAGGTATCTCTGGGCCCTCTAGGTAATACACATCATAAGCTTGCAAGCAAATGACTAAGGAGTTAATCGTGAGGTGATGTATTACGGAACGAGTAAAGTGACTTGCTGGTAACGAGATTGAACTGGTTATGAAGATACCGACGATTGAATCCCGGGCAAGTAACATACCGATAGACAAAGGGGATTACGTATGTTGTCATAACGGTTCGACCGATGAAGATCTTTGTAGAATATGTAGGAGCCAATATGGGCATCCAGGTTACGCTATTGATATTGACCGGAGAGGTGTCTTGGTCATGTCTACATAGTTCTTGAACCCGTAGAGTCCGCACGCTTAACGTTCGTTGACGATATAGTGTTATATGAGTTATATGTTTTGGTGACTGAATGTTGTTCGGAGTCCCGGATGAGACCACGGACAGGAGTCTCTAAATGGTTGAGAGAAAAAGATTGATATATGTGATGATGGTATTTGGACACCGAAAGTGTTTCGGGACGTATCGGGAAGTAATCGGGTCACCGGAAGGGGTTCCTCACCCCCCCCCCCGGTAAGTTATGGGCCTTATGGGCCAAAGGAGGAAACACACCAGCCCACAAGGGGGTTGGTGTGCCCCTTTCCTTGGTTGGCCAACCCTAGGGAAGGAAAATGGGGAGGGCTAGCCCCTCTTGCCTTTCCCTCTCATGGGAGAAAGGAAAAGGGCGGGGGGGGGGGGCACCCTCCCCTGCCTTTCCCCGCGCTCCAGATAAGGAAAGGGACGGCTTGGGAGAGACCCCAAGTAGGATTCCCCCTACTTGGGCGCCCCCCTTGGCTGCTCCTCCCACCTATATATATGTGGGAGGGGCACCTAGCACATAACACACAATTGCCTAGCCGTGTGTGATGCCCCCTCCACCGTTTACATCCCCGGTCATATTTTCGTAGTGCTTAGGCGAAGCGCGCGAACGTCACCGAGCTGAACGTGTGCTGAACACGGAGGTGTCGTACGTTCGGTACTCGGTCGGTTGTATCGCGAAGAAAGGTCGACTACATCAACTGTGTTGTGAAACGCTTCCGCTTACGTCTACGAGGGTACGTAGACACACTCTCCCCTCTAGTTGCTATGCATCTCCTTGATAGATTTTGCATGGGCGTAGGAATTTTTTTTGTTTTCATGCAACGTTCCCCAACACTTGGTCCTTGCATGAAAGACACGATTAGCAACCAAGTATGTAGCACCAAGGTTGTCACACCAAAGACAAGGAGTTTGAGTGTGATGAAGACCAAGTTCCTTGAGAATGGATTTGACCCAAATAGTTCTACTGTTGCATTTGCCAAAGCCTTATACTCAGCCTCAATACTTGATAGTGACACTGTAGCTTATTTCTTTGCACACCATGAGACCAAACTAGGAGAAAAGAAAACTGCAAAACCTCATGTTGTCCATTGTTGCATTCATAGGATGGAGTCTCAAGCAGCTAGATATGCAGAATGCGTTTCTTTATGGTGTTTTGGAAGAGGAAGTGTATATGAAGCAACCTCTTGGTTTTCAAGATAAGAACAAGCCATCTCATGTGTGCTGGCTTGATAAGTCTCTCTATGGACTAAAAGAAGCCCCTAGAGCCTGGTACTTTCGTTTAAGTACAAAATTGCAACAACTTGGTTTTATTCCTTCAAAGTCTGGCACCTCACTATTCATCTACAATAAGTCCAAAACATCCATTTTTTGTGCTTATTTATGTTGTTGATATAATTGCCACAAGTTCCTCAAATGAAACAATTGAGAGCTCTTTTGTCAGATTTGAACTCAGAGTTTGCTCTGGATTTGCATGATTTGGACTTCTTTCTTGGTATTGAGGTTAACTAAAACAGAAGGTGGGCGCCAAACATGCAAGTGATTTCTTGAGAAGAGTTGGATTGCATGGCTATAAACCATCATCAACATCATTGTCCAGTCCGAAAAAGCTCTCTCTCACTGAAGGTGAACCTTTGAGCCAAGAGGATGGCACCAGATACACAAGCTTGGTAGGTGCAGCAGGTCCCTTTTTTTTTGGTCGGACACATCGATCAGAAGAAGTTTGACCTGAACCAACACCATTCGAGCAGCAGCAGCACCACAGAAACAAACAACCGGCAAAGATCAAGTTCATGAAGTACCTGTGCAATTATACCAAGAACAAACTAGTACTAGTATTAGATTAGATCACCCGACGAATCGCATTTAGTTAGACGTAGAAAAAAGCATCAAAATACGGCCACTATGGCCCCCAAAATAGCAGTAGCATCACAGAAACGGCTCTAGTTACAGCAGCCGTGATTTCATCTTCATACGTGCGTACGTACGTAGCAGCAAAAAAGGCCTTGACAACGCCGGGCGAGTTCGAATCAGCAGTCGGCCGCAGCCGCCGGCCTCTTCCTGCTCCCGGCCGCCGTCAGCTGCGAAGAACACACAAGGTGATAGCGATTTGGTTCAGTTAATGCTGGTTCGGCCGGCGAATGCCAATGGATTCAGATTTTGTCCAGAGATACTCACCGATGAGGCCGGCAGGTCGGAGCTCTTGAGCCCTCGCAGCCTCTTCGCCGTGACGATGAACATGCTGCACGCGTGCAGAGGCAGTTCATCAGATTCAGCATATATAGTTGCAACTTGTCCAAGGTGTAACTGTTCTAACGATGACTTACTGCCATGGGACGTCCCCGACCAGCATCCTGTCGCCCTCGTCGTCCTCGTACACCAGCGTGTACTCCCCGCCGGCGATCGCGTCGGGTGCAGCAGCGGTGTCCCTTTGAGCTACATGCACAGGCAGGAAACACTCGCGTGAGTGAGACCACGAGAGTACAAGGCTGACTAACAGCGGAACGGAAGATCGATGATGCATGGTGTGTATGTGTGGGTGTGTACCGGCGAGGAGGCTGCGGAAGAGCTTGTCGACGGTGGCGGAGAGGTCGGCGTAGCTGCCGTGCTCCTTGAGCTCCACCTTCCGGCCGATGGGGACGCCGTCCATGTTGACCTTCACGAACAGGCCCTTCCGGCCAGCAGGCTCGTCGGCGCCCTTGACGGCGAGGTCGTTGTCTTTGGTTGCCCTGCCGTCCTCCTTGGACGACGACGGCTTGGAGGCGGCCAGGTTCCGCCGGAACGAGCGCACCGGCGGCCACCCCACGACCGGAGCTGCTGCAGCTGCTGCCGGCCTGCACGTACGTCGACATGTACACAGACGAAGCATAAAAAATCTACATATTTTTCTAAAGAACAAAGACGGTCAGATCAACGCTGCAACGCTGAAGAAAAAGTTTTTGCTTACTTGGCCTTGTAGCCATTGCTTGCTCCTTGAGGTTGGCGAGCAAAATCACCGGCGCCGCTCGACTCATGCCCGTCCAAACCTGACACCACAAACACAAACAGGTGCATGAAAGCTCGGATGATCAACGAGTGGTACGTGCTCCTACAGAGCAGCAAGAAGGAGCAATTACCTGCTGTCGGTGCTGCCGGCTTGGTGAAGTAGGCGGGTAGGCCGAGGCTGAGCTCCAGGCCGCTCTCCCCCGCCGCCGCCTCCCTGAACCCGCTCCACGCCATGAGTGACTCGACCGTTCGTCCCTGGCAACCTCGCTCGCTCGCCGGCGCTGCTCGCTGCTCCCAGCTCAGGCGACAAATCAAGAAAGTGATGGAGACCTCACGACAAGTCACAAGCGTGTCTCTCCTGCGCGGTGACGGAATATATGGCGGAAGAGAGAGGCGAAACAGTGCAGGTGCTGGACGCTGGCTCGCCCACCTGAGACCGAGACGAGATGAAAGAGCCCGGCGCGGCGCCCGGGGAGTATAGTACTGTGCCTGCCTGCCTGTACGCTAGAGCTAGAGCGACCAAAAGGCGGCAGGGGTTTGCGGGAAAGGGACAAGGTTTGAGCGTTTCGAGGAGGGAGGGAGGGAGGTCGGGCGCGTATTCAAAGCGAGCAGGCAGCAGCAGAGCAGGCTACGCTACGTAGGCGCGAAGAAAGAAACGGCTCCCGATTGATTGCTAGCAGCCCTGGCACGAATCTAGGCCATGAGAGGGAGGGAAGGCACGGAGACGGAGGGATTCCGGCGTAGGAGCAGAGGCCGCGAAATGAAACGAGAGCATCTAGATGCCCACCAGGGCCAAACCAGAGCCAAGCACGGAGCAGCTAGCTAGGCCAGCAAGCAACGGCTGCCTACTCTCCTCTCCTCTCGCTCTTTCTATCTCGTCTCCGTCTCTCTGCTGCGGGTTTGAAGAGCCAGAGAAGGAGGGAGCGAGTGTGTGTTGTGTTGGGTTGGGTTGGGTTGTGGTGCACTTGTTGAGCTTATAAACGGGAGGAAAAGCGGAAAGCGCAACGGAGGAGGGAGGGATCCATAAACAAAAGTGATCCCACTGTTTCTGTTATTCTTTTGTGATCTGATGGCTTCATCATGATTCCCTCTAGGGCGCAAACATATCTTGATATCCCAACCCCGGCCTGATCCGGCGGGCCAAATTCCATTCCGCCACACGCGCACCCTCCCTGTTTTGTCTTCCCGACTCCCGAGTGTATAAAATACTTGGAACAGTGTCCTATATGCTGGAGTAGTAAAAATTGTCAGTGCATAGTGTCCTAAAAAACCTGCAACACTTTCCAAGTGTATATTTTTGTTAATAAGACAGTTTCAAGGATTTACAACTGTTAGCGTTGCTGTGGATGACAACAGTAAAATAAAAGCTGTCTTGGATTCGTAGTCTCATATCGCCAGCAACACAGCAGCGAAAGTAATCCCATGGGTCATGTCTATGGCTTATCCCAAGAGCACTGGTGACACACAGTGTCACAGTGACATCGTTTTCAATAATGCCAGCCATTCTAGTGGGCAGTGTAGCGTAGGCCCCGTGTTTGATTGGTGCAAGTAGATTCGTCCATGAAAGTGACAAAATTCCCAGTGTTGGGCCGAGAGGGTCGGATAAGATAAGCTCGGCACTTACTGATTGTTACTAGCACTGTGCATGTATCTCGCCCCTCCCTTTCATAATTAATCTCAAATTAATTAAGAGTTCGAAGTGATCTCGAATGATCTCATGCGTGCTAGATTGAGTATAAATATTACTAATAGGACGCTATGAGCCGGGGAATCTCAGTTGTGTTGGCTCCTTTTTAGCTAGTGCTCTTTGGTTGTTGATTAACCACGTAGGGCAAGCGAAATGCATGCATAAGGACCGAGGGGAAAGCGACCGATCGGCGCCTTTTTTTGTACAATTATCGCATGCTGCATCCGTAGGACGTAGACGTGTTAACTGCAAAGGGTAAAAGCAAATCTCCAAAGAAAGATATATATGCATGAGGTGAGATGCACGGAAAGTGAGTGAACGGCCACTGCTCAGTCATGTTAACCTCCGGAGACCACACTTGTGTTGCAAGATATGGGCATTGCATTTGCAAGGGACATCTTGTTACATAATTGTACCAGCAAAACCGCTGAGATCTGTATGATCGGAGTTTGGTCTTGTGGCTCGTGTAAATTGGAAAGGGGACGAGAATTTGTTGATATTGCATGTATCTAAATAACATTTCTTTTTCTTAATCGACTGAATCATAGTCACCCACCGGTTGAAAATTAAGATACCAAGAGAACTTCTTTCTCATGACTTATTATTAAGTGGGGCGACTTCTCGAATCCAAGTGAGTGCGTTATTTTGCCACTTTGTGTGATCGACCAGAGTCACATCTCAGATATTTCTCCTTGTATACTTCAAAGAATGCATGACTAAGAAATCGAAGAATATTGATGATATCAGGACATCGACAAATTGTAGAAGCGAAAAGGTACATGAATTGATGGAAATAAGCTTTTTTAGAGAGTCATTTTACAGTGCATCCGGACGATATGGACCGTCCGTCGGAGCGAATTCGACGGTCCAGATCCGATGCAATACGCTGATGTCACGTGTATTATATCAGACCCCGAAGGGCATTTTCGGGAGAAAAAATATTTCGAACTGATCTGATTTTTCCTCCCAAATATTTCGAGGGTATTCTCGGTACAAATTTCAGGGCTATTTTCGGTTTGATTTTTATCCTGTTCGGTAGGGTTTATTCCTCGCCGCCGCTAGGGTTTTAATCCTCGCCGGCAGGATCTAGCCGCTCGTCGCGGCCCCTCCCTCTCTCGCCGCCGGCAGGATCTAGCCGCGTGTCGCGACCCCTCCCTCCCTCGTCGCCGGCAGGATCTAGCCGCGCGTCGCGGCCCACCCCAATTTCCTCGCGATCTCGCACCACCTTTTCAACGAACACTAGAGAAGGCCCACTGCCCTCCCCGTGGCGGCCGCCGGCGAAGAGTCGGCGCCATCCCACCTCCCAGTCCTCCATGCGGGTGCCTATAGCCACAACGTTATAGGCAACCTCTTTCCCACACCCTAATTGGTTGTTTGCGTCCTCTACATATCATTTCTCAGCCATGGCTGCAGTTTTGATCTGGCCATGCATCTCGTCCGATGGCAAGGTGGTTGGGTATGGATCATGTTCTGCGGGACTAGATGAAGCCGGCCGCCGGCCTCGACGGCCAGCCCCGACTGCATGATCTACGAACGTTCAATCGTTGCATTCAACATGCATTCTTTCAATTTGGCTGATAGGTGAGATTTGAAGATCAATAGAGATATAAGCTATTAATTTTGGAATGTACTATAAACAATTCATAGCTTGTGTTGCTCAATATTTATGATGCTCGCTTCTTCTTGTGCAATTGCTGGACTGGGATCAATAGACTTGGCATGTGCTTTATATGAAAAATTAGATTCACATGGGATATCCACCTTTTCAAGATTGCTATTAATTCTTATTATGATGTTTTAGCCTTGTTAAAGGGAGAGTAATGGTCCTCGCAAAAAGCGGAGAGAAAGGGATGAGCATTTGATTCTTCCATATGTTGCATTTCATTGTTCCGTGTTTAGTTATGTCCAACATTTGTTACATGCACACACTTGACAAGGTTAGTACAAGTAGTAATTTTTCCTTTGTTTTGCAGGGCTATGACAGAACATGCTATGTGATTCTGTGAGGCAGGATGGATGTACCATGGCCACACCACTCTGCTCCTGAAGGTGACCGCTTCAATTCAGCGTTGCAGCACCTGCAGAGGCCCCCTATGGTATGTGCTTTACTCTTGTTATCCTATGCTCTATTTTTTTGGCTTTGCGGCCTGCCTACAAGACATAGCTGGGATTGCTTTTTCTCTCGTATGAAAATAGACATATCATAATTCACTATTCTTCTAGGGTTGCCCCAGGCACCATTACTGTCACATGGTACTAAAAAGCAAATATAGATTTCTACGAGATCCCGTAGAGACCAAATTTATTTCAAGCAAAATATAGTAACCAATATTATTGAAGTTTTACAACTTGACTGATGTGCAATGGACTAAGAACACGGCTAGGAAACCTTCTTCGGAACTAAACCCAACCACACCCTACTCTATTGCTTTATGGCCAAGTGAACACTCCACACTGCTGGACTAACTACTTGCATATTCGTCGTCTTCAACCACGGCTGCATCCGATAGCCTAGCATGGTACTGCTTGAACCTATTCTTGTACTTCATTTTGTTGTAGGGTGAATCGACAAGCACAACAGGTAGCTCTTTTCTGAATTTCTCGATGTACGCCTGCATGCAAGGATATGTTAGTATCGTTCCTTTACCTTCACAAAATGACAAAATTTTAGGTGTTACTCTACGTACTTCATCATACTGCTTGCTCAGTTTTAGTCTCGTAAATAATTCGATGTTCTTCAGCATGTACAATGCACAACATGAACTGCAACATTTTATGTTGTTAGATCAGCATTTCAGATATTAGCAATCTAAAACAAAAACAATAGCTAATATTTTTGACTGACGTTTCATCAGATTTTGGCACTTTAATGTTCCGTACTGGCCATTGCGTCACGTTAATGTCTTCCCATGCATTGCTTTCTATCCCATTGACTCGCCTCGCTGCTCTCAGATGTGCTTCCATCCCACGTACCTGCAAGCCCAATGGGATGAGAAGTTGCCTACGACTAATACTTACATACGATGTCAAATCCTTTGTTATAATTAAATATATTGAAATTCTCACCACGTTATGTACTTCTTTGGGTATCATACAATGGAAAAGTGAATCAAGAACCTGAATCTCCTTCCTTCTGGGGTTTACGACCACAAGTAAACAGTGGACGCCTTGGATGTTCACAGGTACGAAAACTTGGATTGCACAGATAATTAGATCAATGTGTATAGTAATAAAAAAATCTGTTCAAAGTCAAGTTAAAATACCATATCATGTTTCAGGTAGCTGGTGCCTTGTGTTATTCTAGGAATGCCTGCCAAAGCGTCCTCGTAGCACTCCTCTATCCTACCATCTCTTTCGAGCTTAACGACGCCGGCCGCCCTTTCAATGTAAACCAGTTGGCCGTCCCTTGTGTCAATTGGGTCATCATCACGCATGAGCTGGATCGCAGCATCAACCACCTACAACAATAATCAAGTTAATTGTATTGTACAAAAATGAAACTTCATAAACTAATTAGTGAAATATCTTACTTCGTCACCCAACCATA